ATCTATAAAAAAAAAAAACAAACGTTAGTATGTATGGTGGAGATTACTTCCCCAGACGGGTGCTCCAATTCGAGTGGAACATAAACCCCACCTCTCTTGAGCTCATGTGCAATATTTTTTTATGTTTAACCGCACAGTAAATGTCGTTGTTGATTCTACAAATATGTACCCACACAATTTTTATCTAAAAAGCGAAACGACTTTTTGGAAGTTTCGCGGCTCAGACACGTAATATCAGCAATGTCAAAAAAAACACGTAATCTTCCATGGACTCAGAGCGCACCTGTCTCTCGCAAATGAGCACGCAAACAAAGGCTTCCTGATTTCACCTTGAGGTATGGATGCGTATACATGGTTAGAGCAAGTGGGCTCACGGGACCCCATTGTTGTTTGATTCATGCAATGGAACGTGACTACGTTTGACATTTCCTAGTTTTCACATACCCACATAACTTGCATATTAGCTATAGACAGCACTATCTACGCGGCAGTGTCTTTTTTATGTTTGTATTGCGAACGGTAAAAACAATAGAAATGATTTTAGATTGATATGTACTAAACTTTGAGTAGTAGACATGAACAGATAAGTTGGGAGTTTCTTTTTATGGTCAATGTATTTTCTTATGCCCCTAGTTATGTTTGCAATTGTGTAAACTAACTTTGTTTAACGCCAGACGAGACGCGTAAAGTAACTTTGGTGAACGGAAGATGACCAACTATTAATATTTTAGTCAAGGAAGACGTATCAACATCATGGTCATGGATATTTATATTTTCATCATTCGTTTACTTTGGTTCCAATTATTTGGGGATGGCAGAACATGTTTTCTCCTTAATTATTTAAAATCAGCCGTCATTTTCATCATTCATTACACAGTGGCTTCATATTTTCCTCTGTTTTCCTCTCCTTGTGGACCAATCTACATTCATTTTCATTACCCCCTGTCAATGCCTGTCATCTCTTGTCATTAAGTACATGTCTGTATCCGGTTGCCTCTCAATACTCACGCCCATAGATGCGTTATTATCAGTTGATAATATCAGAAGCGTTATTGCGATATTTCGTCATACTTTTATTGCGTCGTTATTATCGCAGCACTTGCTACTTCATAGCCGTTCTCATACATAATGTAATAAAAACAAATATCGCAGAAACGCATCCGATATTATCGACCGTTAACAACACGGCTATGGGGTGGGAGATCTCAAACTTACCCCAATATGCACTCACCTGCGTCTCCTAGTTAATAACTTTGAAACTAGCTCTTTGAATTAAAAAAGTATCTTGAAGAAAATTTACATGTACTCATAAAATAAGTAATAAATTAGTATGATTAAAAATAGGTAATCATTTATTGATTTTAAAATTAGTATATGATATTGTTATTTTCAAGATGCCCCTTTATTTTTGCGGGCGAGTGTATTTACATATTTATGTATTGCATACCTAAATACCTTACCCACGCTGCTTACGTTATAAAAATTCCATAAAACCAGATGTGTTTATATAGGTATATCTGTGGTTTAAATTGCACCAAATAGGTAATTATGACTTGCTCCAAATATTTTATTGTATTTATTTTGTAATGTATTTTAATTTATGTACTTCGTTAGGGTTAACTTTATTTTTGAAAATCCCTTAGGGACCTAAAATTTTATCGGGATAAAAAGAATCCAATTTAGGTAATAAACTACTCATGTGTGCCAAATTTCGTCCAATCATCGTCGTTTTTGCATGATTGAGTAACAAAGATACAAAAACACAAACATACACACTTTCACATATGTGATATTTTTAATTATTTTATTTATTAGAAAAGTTGTTTACATTTTATTATTTCCATTCCTCCATCCTCTTGATAGGAATTTGATTAGAAATTTGTATCTGTTGGAGTCAACAACCTCCGTGGCCGAGTAGTTTGTGCTCCGGGCTTCATGGTGTCGCCGACTCGAGAGGACCCAGGTTCGAATCCTGGTGGGGGCAGATGTTTGTGTGATGAATACGAGCATTTGTACTCCGTTCATGGATGTTTAATATGTATTTCTATATAAAATATGTTTTGAAATGTACAGTATATGTATTCTATCCGTTACCCTAGTATTCCATAACACAAGCCTTACAGTGCTTACTATGGGGTACAGTGGTACTAAGTGAGGCTAATTGGTGTGTATGTTAGAAATTTTTATTATTATGAAGTAAACGCAAACAACAGCATTGCTCCATGGGCTATGATGTCTCAGTCTCCCCTTATCTGTGGCCCCCTTACCGACCGACCGAACTGCGCATCTTTTAAGTTGTTTAGTAATCTTCTGTCTGTAACGGTTATATTTTATAATTCAGTGTTTTATTTGATTACATCAATATCCTTGTATTTTTACAATTTATAACCAGCGAGGCTATTGTACGAACAGTGGGGTATCTAATAGTAGTCTATTGATGATTCTGTAGATGAATGTAATGTATGAAATACCCTCAAACCATTATTCCATTTTTTTCTGAATCTAGTGGAATTACGTCTGTCATTCAACCTTGTGACCCCGACGGCTCTAGTCCACAGGAGCCCGAACTGTAAACATATAAAATATATTAAAATAAGTATAAAAAGAAAAGAACTCATTATCTTCTGATTGGAATTTGGAATTTGTAGCACTATAAGTAGGTGTTAGAAAGTTATTGTAGATAACTTCCTCAAGAAGTTAAACAACCTGAAGGTTTTCAAACTTTTGCAAAAAATCTTAAAGTAATTACTTAGTACTTTGTTCAAGGTGCTCGATCAAAATTTATCAAGTTTCCCTGTTAATTTATTTTCTCTTAGTCATTAACCTTTCAAGTTACGTGTCATAAATTTTATAATGTACATTATTTTATATAATATATATTATCCTAGTGTAAGCTGAACCGCATAAAAATGTGCCGCTCCCAATCCTAATACCCCGTGGAGCCTTGAAGCCTTACTCGCTTACAGTAACACAACACCACCAAAACAATTTCACCTGATTTATAATATTTTTATCATTTTCAGGCATAACAATGTCTGTCAAGTCCGCTAGCTAATTATAAATAGTTCCATATAGATCCGAACCTACATCGACCTTCACCAAGCTGAAAATAGAATGAAACATATTCATCATGACTTTAGTATATTACAAAATATATTAAAAATGGGTTGCTTATAAAAATCCTGGACAGACTATATTTAAAATTTTTAGAAAAAAATATTAAAAAAAATGTTGGTACATCAAGATAGTAAGAAAATGTTGTCCCGACTTAAAGTATAAAACCTATAGAATGTGCAGTCGTTGGGTAACGTATCTAGCATCGACATACCTGTTTATACCTGGCAACCCAGTAGTTCACCCAGGTAAATAATAGACCACCCAAGGGCTGCACATATTATACGTTTTATACTGTTTTTAGGATAACGTTTTCTTATTATCTTGAGGTTTCAACATTTTTTTTAATTAATTATAAATAGTCTCTCCAGGCTTTTCTTAGGCAACCAGTTTTTAATATATTTTCTAATATATTAACATATACAACATTTCATTGGTGAAACATTGAATGAATGAACATTTGATGAATTAAGTAAAATTCATGATAAAATATGTTTTATTCTATTATCAGCTCAGTGAAGGTCGATGTAGGTTCGGATCTTAGACCAATATATACACAGTAGAATATAGGATCATGATTCGTACTGTTTATTTTAGCCAATTCTGGGAAGCATCTATAAAACAAGATCATTAATAATTTACGAAGGAATTGCGAATGGATATTTTTAATCCGTCCCATCTTATGTCTAGTTCATCACAACAGTTCTCAGAATATATATCCATCGAACAAACAATATTTATTGTTATTTCTCGTTATTCTGCACATAATATTTGATTAATCTGATTTCTAGTAACAATCAATATTTATAAAACTTTATAACCTATTTACAAGTAAGAGTGAATAATAATTTTAAGCTACGAAACACAGAAAATTCCAATAACTCTTTTATAAAGCAGGAAATTTTTATTTTTTAAGTAGAATTACATATTTTGTTCGGCAGCTATGCCATAGTCGGGTAAAAATGAAAAAAATCTTCCTAATACGACCACTATGTAAATAATATCTATTACAATGTATATATTCTGTAATTCCAATTCTTGATAATCTCTTAGGAACCTAACAATTTCTCGAGATAAGAATTATCGCTTAAAGATTCAAAACTGTCATATCCAGCCAAAAGATTTTACTTTTTTACTTGGCGGATAATTTGTTTTCAATTGTCTTCCTTTATAACTCCGAATTTTGGGAATAAAATTATAACAATTGAACACTATTTTCATAAAAGTCCAAATCTCAAACAAACTTAATCCCCACGAGGCAAACCTCAGGAGCCTCTAATTCCCCTTTTACACTATAAGCATAGATTAAATGTACTGTATAGAGATATAATAAAGAATAAAAAACTGTAGGCATGTAACAGAAGAGGAAGAACGAAAAAGTTTCACAATAGCTCAGACTTTGAAAAAGATATTGTCAAGCCCATTTGGCCGTCTTAATACTTTTACCAAGGGACAAATGGCATGATATATAAACTTCACAAACAATCGTGATTTAGTTGAATCGTAAAACGTGTAGGTACTATTACTTTGGCATCGACCAAGAAATCGGAAGAGATTTTGCAGGAGGGAAATTTGCTAAAATAAACGATGTCGTAATAACAATTCGAATAATTCTGATATGTTTATTCTTTGTTAAAAGTGTAGATATGGTGCATCGTTAATATTAGTACACAAAATTTGTTACTATAACCCTAAATTAGCAAACTTTTATTTTCGTGGGCAGTTAATTTTTAGTGTAAACAATTAAACTTTATTAGGCACTATAAATCGAAAATTTATGTAATTTTACTTTATTACTTCAATTCAAATTCTGACGGAAGTTATTATAACTATAGAAAACTATCAATTTACGAGTGATACTACAATTCGTGTGTATTTGTCAACAGTTCTTGGCGCTTTTGGAACGCAATGTAGTGGCCAACACGAGTCTCCAGTACAGGCAGCTGACGATGTTTGCGCCGACCAATGAAGCCTTCCAACGGTACAACGGCATGATGGACGATAACCTAGTACTCTATCACATATGTAAGTAACTACACTCTATTCACCGAAAGCTATTACCTACTAGAAGTAACGATACAAGTTTGTGTTGTCGTTGCTTCTGCCAATAACATCCCACCTTTGATTATGATGCAGTTTTCTATCTTTAAGCGATTGCGTGATAAAGAAAAAGCTCCACTAATCGATGAGGTCAAGAACACCCCTGAGCTAATCTGTTATATTTGATCTTTGACAACAAAGAATAACAAACGTAAAATAGGTAAAGACTTAGCGTCGTAATTGGAGCGAGGACTACAAAAATAAGCGATCTTATACATGTTATGACTTGCAGTTATTACAGATTTGATTGAGTTCCTTAGGATAATGTCAGGTATTTTTGCATCTCAACTCACTGCACTGCTGCACTATCCGTTAACATTGAAAAATCTAAAGAAAAGTTTACTAGAAAAAAATCCACGCGGACCAGGCAGCGGACGGGACTCGAACCCGCATCCTTCGCTATCCGGGCGAATGCACTGACCATTATGCTACCACGGCCCTATTAGCCGCGTGGAAATTTTCCTAGCCTTAAGCTGCAAGGCAGCATTTTATTTATAAAATCATAACTATAATTGCTATTTCTTCTTTCAAATGTTTAATACTTGAAAAAGTATTCATTTGATATTGTGGGTTACCTACAATGCGAAGAGATGGCGCTGCCTTGCAGCTTAAGGCTAGGAAAATTTCGACGCGGCCAATAGGGCCGTGGTAGCATAATGGTCAGTGCATTCGCCCGGATAGCGAAGGATGCGGGTTCGACTCCCGTCCGCTGCCTGGTCCGCGTGGATTTTTTTTCTAGTAAACTTTTCTTTAGATTTAAACATCTAGCAGTTAAATGCTTAAAAAATAAATAAAATCATAACATTGAAAAATGTTTAGAGATAGTGCAGTGCATATGTAACATTAAAAAATCTTAAGTGAAAGTGCAGTCAATGGAGTTGAGCTGTAAAGGTATCTGATGTGGAGTAATTAAAAAAATGATTGATTTTAAGTATTGAATATGATCGAATATGTTAAACTATTTGTGAAGGTAGATTTTGAAACAGAGTTTGAAAAAGAGAATATCGTTTGCAGCGAATCTAGCAACAACACTGACGAATCTGGACTACGCAATATCTTCGGAGTTTGATGGCAACCCCCCGCTGTGGGTGACGAGACGAAGGGACGCTATGCACGACGACATTTACGTGAACAACGCTAAGGTGCACGTGTCCAGGTCTTATCAAGCCACCAACAGGAACGGGAAGAGACAGGTCTGTTTGTTAATGTCCATGTTAAATCACGGTTAAAACGACGTTTTAAGTTTTTTAAATTAACATAATAGTTTAAAATTGGAATTTAACATTCAGCGTTTTACTTGAAGAAACTGTAATAAGGCTATGTTTTAAATTGCGATTCTTCAATTCTCAAAATGTTTGTCAACAAGTAATAATATTTTGAGAGCAGTTGCCTGAGTTTGAATTTGCACATTTTTTATTAACTACAAAGTCCGATTAAAAATGCACTTTTTTATGAAAATAGAATTAAAATCAGTAAAACGATTCGAAGTATTCCAAGTAACGATTCCTTTCAGAGATATTGAGACTCATTTTACAGAAAACTGTATTTTTTTCTACTTTTGACGTTTACTTTTTCTGTTCCTAGGTTCTTCATGTGATTGACCAAGTACTGCAGCCACTCCAGCCACACGGATCAAGCTCCTCAAGCAGCTCAGTGTACAATCCAAACGCTTTTCAGTTTCTGGAACATTCTGACGAATTCAACATAGGCCAACACAGATTAAGGTGAGTGACTGGGTTTCTTAGGCTGTGGAACTAAAATAAAGATTTACTATCTCGAGTTCCTCCGTGCTTCTTAAGGCACGTTAAGCCGTTGGTCCCGGCTGCATCTGCAGTCGTTAGCACCCACCAATCCGCACTAGCCCCGCGTGGTGGGTCATGGCCCAATCTCCCTATTCCATCCATAGGGAAGCCCTGTGCCCCAGCAGTGGGGACATTAATAGGCTGATGATGATGATGATAGATATTATTGATAAAGATAGTATAGAAACTATACCAGTCTAGGCACCTCACACAGCGTGACCAACTGACACAAAACGTATTACGTATACGTCTAGTCACTGTGGTTAGGCACCAAAGATTAACTTTTAGCACTATCCGAGGCTCCATAAAAGTGAAACTTTAGTTGTTATTTCTTGCAACTAATGAATTAACAGTACCTAGATTACAATATAAACATTAACAATATAATGTCATTATGTTTTTCTTTAAGCATTTAACTGCCAGATGTTTTCATATTGTCAAATTTTAATTAACTAAACGTAATTCTGGCTAGGAAGGATCTTGTACCAAAACACGCGACAAAGGTTTTATTTCTTAATTATATTTATAAGCTCTGCTCACATACACCTACCTACTATAATATGTTCGTTATGATTTTTATTTGCTGTTTACAACGAACACAGTGAAAATATTTTTTCTGTGGCCCTGTAGTTTAACTTTGACTGTCAAAATAAAACAACAAAAAGCTACTAAAGTTTAACTACATTGTTGAGTGAGCCGTTCGTGGCTGAACTTTTGTGGCGAACTAACTTACACCAGCACATAACTTCTCCCGTTAATTGAATATCAGTTCAGAAACAATATGAAAACAGTTTACTCGGAAAGTTGCATGTACAGGTGTGCAAATGAATCAAGTTTCTCAGTTTTAATAACAGGAATTTTGAGTGTTATCGAGAAACTAGTGATATAAATGATATATTGCTTAGTTTCTTTGTTATGATTAATAATGTTCTATACTGTCAAACAAGCTCTTTACACTGAATATATGTACAATACATATTATTTAACATAATTTAGATGTATGTCCCTGATTCTGGCATGATTGTCTAAATCTACAACGAAATTTGAGAACTATATAGGTAATTGTCATGCTCTATATAGAACAAGACCGGCCATGCACGGACAGCTTGAAGTAGTCACGATGGACTAATTCAAGCTGCGACTGCATAGTGAATTACAGTCTTTTACATACTTGCGTACATGGAACCGCTCGAGCGGTTGGCAGCACTACGAAATTTCATCGTGCCGTCAAGCAGTCACCAAACATACACTGACTGCTCGAACTATCGCCTGCTCTCGCGCAGTTACCTCTTAATTCTAAGTCGCGCGCGCCTCAACCGCCCGAGCTTTTTTTTGTTTTGTTAACAAAAGCTGCTAGAAGGACTGCTCCAGCAGTTATCAATGGCAGCCTCAAGCTGTTGACTCTGACTGCAAGAGAGGTCCGTATATGTTGATCACTGGCTAATTGCTCGAGCAGTCCGTCTATAGCAAGCCCAAAGAAAAGAGAGTGCTGTCAAATTGAGTTTTACGCTTAGAAAATTAAGAGAAGTTAAGAGTAGTAGACACACAGGTAGACCACAATGAAATAACACAACATTTTGGTGGTATTGCCACGATATTGCTGAGTGAGTTTACAGGGCTGCACTATGTAAAGGATGGAGTAACGTGCGGTAATCGCTGTATTCTGTTAAAATAGAGTTTTTTCATAAAAAAAATATAAAAATCAGGTTATGTTAAAATCACATTTTTTTCAATGCTAACATATTTTTATAAACTCATCTCCATATTTTATAAATATTCACTCACATAGTGGTAAGGCAAATGCATCGAATATTTATACCAGGAAATAATGATAATCTAATTTTATCACACAGATCCTTCCGACAGAAAGTAACTCAACTTCAAAAGAAGGAAGTATTCAATGCCGATGGGAGGCATACATTTTTCATTCCAGTCGATGAGGGATTTAAGGTAAGAATACTTTCTCCATCCACTATCAATGTATGTAATTCAATTTATTTTTGATGCTCGTTTTTTATTTATTGCATGCTTTAGTTTTTGAGGAAACGTTGCGACAGTATGATTTTATAAATAAGCACCTTTTTTGATTGGTTTGAGACTAAAATATCGCGTATGGTGAAAATCATCTCAAAAATTCCAAGAACGCTTCGATAAACCAATGTAATTTTTCCGTTAAAAGTTTCGTTTTACTTTTGTTATTTCAATGGCACCATATTAAAACAGTGTAAATGATTTCAGCCTACTACAAGATCTGACCTAATAGATGAGAAAGTGGTTGACGGTCACGTGATCCCCCATCATGTTCTGTTCACAAAAGCCACTCCTGATACTAAAGAGTTTGAGACATTGGCATTCGGAGACAACGTTAAGGTCATAGTGTCATTTAGCACCGCCATGAATGGAAATGAAGAAATCAGTGAGTACTAGTGTTCATTTTAACAAACTTGTTGAAGTGTGATGTAATTAAGTGCACAGGCAAAAATTTTCATCGACAAATTTCATTTACGGATAAAGTGACAAAGAAATGAGTCACCATATTTCTTTGTACCCATTATTATTATCGTAGCAACGTAGGCATAGAGTAGTTGGTATAAAGGCTTTTATTTGTTTTCCTCCTTTCTTCAAAGGCCAACCACTAGAAATGAAACTAGGTATTTTTTATAGTTTTGTTTTCATTAGTGCAGCTGGCACTAGCTGCTCTTGCATCTGTTATGCATATTTCATTAGATGGAATGGAGTTATTTGCTCGGTGTCTATATTAAAAACAGAAGTTAATATTATAATAAAAAAAAAACACAACAATCTTGGTACAGATTTTATTTATTCACCTACACTTTTTATGAAATCGATTAATTCCCACAGCGTACGTGAAATCCAATACTGTCGCCGGAGATGCAAAACACAGCAGGGGAGTAGTAATAGCTGACATAGTGAAGGCCAACATCCCTGTGAAGAACGGAGTAGTTCATCTTATACAGCGGCCTCTAATGGTGGTCGATACTTCAGTCATCGACTTTCTGAAGGTGTGTTTCTATACGGCATACAATTTTGGTTCTGGTTCTGGTGCCTATCTTTTACTATGATAGTTGGACATCGACATGTATTGAGACATCCAAATCTCAGTAACGAATGAACAGATCATTACACAAACGCTTGCCCAATTCCCATATCAAGAATACAGCAACAATCTGTACCACTTGTTTCGAACATCAAAATAAATATGAGGTTGTTATTTAATTATAAGATTACTGTCTGAACAAAGTTCAAGATATATGCGCTTTGAATATCCAACAGTGCTGTACCACTGAAATTATTGAAAGTCTCATTCATAATCGCTTTAGCGCAATATACTTTGATAGATTTATTTTAAATGTATTTTTTTTCAACTAAGTGTCAAATTTTTGAATGCTTTCGTTGAATTCTCGCTACATTAACATGGAACACCAGGCTATGAAGGTAAAAGGAAGCCTTTGCATTTTATTCTTTTTCACTATTGATCTTTTACTACTTCATTTATACCTTTCCTTCTTGATGTATATTTTGAGATATAGAAAAAAATAACAAAATATTGAGCACGTTTTTAATGTTGTCTGTTGTGCAATCCAATTTATCTTTTGATAAAAGGTTGTGGTAAGTCTTGCATTATGTCACGAGTTGATTTCTTAGCGTATTATTTACATTTGACAAATATTATCTACCGAATTAATACCTATCTACAAGTATCTTTTGTATGTCTTACCCATGGAATGGTGGAGGTGTATTTAATAAAACCTATAAAAAAAAAATTTGTGTAAACATTTATATATATATCCCTTGACAGTGGGTACTATGTATATTTATCAATCAGTTCTTCAGTCGCAGTATTATAATGCAATTGCATATAAAGTTGAGTAGTTAGTACAACACCATGCACTGAACACAAACTTTTTCAAATAAAAATACTTTTCCCTTAACATTTCTGTTTTATATATATGTACCTGTTCAAAGGGCTCCGTAATTTTGTATTCTGTGTGATGTTGGGAAGAATTTGTTATACTGTTTTATTTGTTTGTGCCCTCTACCCGATGTGGATCCTGCATGACATTTGGCAACCGTAGGGGATTGTAAGTATTGTTTCTTTTTGCATGTGTGTTCCGAATTGCATTATTGATATCCAAACAATCTTTTCTTTTCTAACCTAACACTCTGTCTGTATAATCTGTTCCAAACGAATTTAGACCAAAGGTAAACTCTCAATTCCCACGCAATGAATCACTTAATGGATTTCTCAACACATTAATTTGCATTCCTAGGGGTTTGACATATTAATTTACTATCATTTATAGCACTAATTTTGTCTTCAAAAAGTAAATATTAATTTATGAAAAATTATAAATTAAAACTCGAGTCGAAAAGTAAGGTTATTGTGGCAGACGGAAATTGTCTGTTGTCTATGGTTGAACAGTGTTATACCTTGGTTATACCGTAAAGTCTACTCAAAATTATTTCAATTAACGTTAATAATCGAATAATGAATCGATTAAATAAATGGTTACGGGCTAAAAAATCATCTCATTTTTATCAGTAATCCAACATGCAAAATTGATTTGTTTGATATACTTAGGTTATTTTGTTATATAATTATAAATAAAAAATTTCACATCTGTATAATAAACGTAAAAGTTGACAACTGTTAAACGAAGTAATTCAAGTCAATACAGGACGTTCAACAGAATAATGCTGCGAGCTCGCTAGCCGACGAACGATTGGTTTGCGTGATTTATTAAATTTTTTCACGCAAACCACTTTTTCAAATAGAGTTTTATTAAGTAACGAAATATAGTTAACTATCTTGCCAATTGCAGTTAACAGCCAGAGCCGTTTTTGAGTAATGACGATAAAAAAATATTAATATTACTAATAAAGCCTTTAGGTATAATTCCGCAATGGGCTGCAGACGACAACCGTAGCCGACACTACGGCTAGCGCCTGCGGCATGTCGCCGCGCTCGGAATCAATTTCATAGTTTCATAGAAGCTAATAGTGTCGCCTGCAGTCTGCAGCTGCGGTCTGTGGTCTGCGGTTCAGTTCGGACTTGTACCTTTATAGATTTTTAACAATTTCTAAGAGTATGATCATTCAATTGTGCAATTGATTTTAATAAGGCTCTATGAATCCCAAACACTAAACTGGCTATGGTCACACTTACCTACCTGTTTGTGTGTACTTTTGATGTAAATTCGTTTGAAACAGACTTTTAGTAACTTTTTGACCTTTTTCAATGTAGCGAGTATTAGTTAAGGTAAGGTTATTGAAAACTAAAACTTATAAACAACTAAGATAAAAGTTGTTTATAAATTTTAGTTATCATTTGAATTATAATCTGAGTATGAATAGAATCAGATTTACATATAGACATCTTAAATAAAACCAGAACTGCAACTTTAAGGTAAATAACACATTTAAACTGTTTAAATCATCCTTAGAACAATACGTTTTGCACTGAATAACACGAGGTTAATAGAATTCAATGGACAATCATCTTATTATTATTAATAGAAACGCACAAAAAAACATTTATTATTTATAAAATATTGATATTCATCCAAAATATTTTTAGTAAAACACTTAATTTTATCACCAGATTTTTAACAAAAGAGTATTTTAGTAGACATGTAGACCTTAATTAGAACAGAATTAATTTAATTAGTAAATAAAATAAGTAATATAAGTACGTACTTGAACGTTTATATACAAATAAAATGTATGTAGTAGGTAGTATCAATAAATTAATTGGCTTATAGGAAAATTGGATTTATAGGAAAAGGACGATGGGCCGTTATGCAAGTTCTACGAAGTGATCATGGATCTCGGCTCCAACAATCAGTTCCTAAAGGAGCTCAACGTTGCCAAGGACATCACTTTATTTGCCCCATCCAACGAAGCTTGGAACGAGCCAAGCGTACAAAACATTGTTAGGTAATTTACAACAATAAGTACTAGCTTCAGATAATATCCCAGTTTTTGGTTAATTTCTGTATCTTATATATTTTTATTTATATTGACGCGCTATACTCTCCTAAGATGAAAATGTAAGCGCTGTATTAATATTTCCTGCATGTTTTATAAACCGACTAATGGTATACATAAATTTACAATTTAACAACACAAAATATTGATGCAAGATGTACGTACATTTAATAAACAAAATATTTCACAGGAACCATCAGAAGCTCAAGGATATTTTAAATCTGCATTTGGTAAGGGAGAGACTACCTATGGATGCTATAATACACAACAATATGAATCAGGTAAAAGTGATATACGAAAATATTTTTCATTTTATTAAACTCAAACAAATGATTGAAATACAAAATGTAAATGAGAAATGCCTAAAGTCTAATTTGATTAAGAGATTATTCCAGTAATATATATGAGATATTAACATCTCAATTTACTTTTACTCAATCTAATAAATTGATTTTAATTAACAAGCTTCTCTGAAATTAATTTGTATTCTGAATTTTATTTGTGATCGCGCTGCTATTCGGAATCAGCTTCCCGGAACTGTACGTCATACCAATTATAAAACTAACAGTATGAACTTCATCGTTGTGTTGTTTAGAGTTTCAGATGTTTTGTTTATTGTTATACTCTTCAATTCCAACCATAGCAGAATGTGCATGACATAACAGATCTTTATTTTTCATATTAATTTTCTTTTTACTTTCCTCATGTAAAATGTTCGGTTATAATTCCATCTGTGATAAATGTAATTACCCCATATTTAGGTGATCATGAAAGTAAAAAAGCATGGCTGTACAGTCATCATCGTATTAGGTGTAACATTTGGTTATTAGTAAATCCACATTGTTTTATCTGTGTGCCAATTCATAACTGTATATAAGAACGTTTCCAGAATATAAAGTTTTACTACCAAAATTAATTTTATAATTTATAAATTTGTTCCCACTGAACTACAGTTCACGTCCTTGATGCAGTTGTGATACGTGCGTCAGCCTAATGATACCAATTCCCAAATAATTTCGTGATATTTTTATAGATATATCAAGCTCCAACGGCGTCTCCGAGGAAATATCTATACTTCAACGTGCTAACTCATGGAAACAATAAAACACTAACAGTTGAAGGTGGAGGAGTTAATGCTACAGTAATTCAACCAAACATAGCGGCTACAAATGGCTTCGTCCATATTATAGACAGAGTTCTAGGAGTGCCTTACACAACTGTTTATGAGAAATTGAGAACGGATCCTATGCTCAAGTATGGTTTACTTGTTTATATATTTTTCTTCAATAAACACAATGGCTAAACAATGTTTTCCTAAAAATGTTTTAATTTAATTTTCAACAGTATCACATATAACCTTGGAAGAAGACAAGTTTTTAATCATCAACTGAAGGATATGGAACATCGTTACACGTACTTCGTTCCCCGAGATCACGCTTGGCTTAAATTTCAGATTAGGCATCCTTCCGCCTTTAAAGCTCTATTTAAAGAAGACTATGGATATTTCGTAAGTGCTTTAATACATACTTCCTTCTTATGTAAGGATTAATTAGCTTACGTATTGTTTCCATCCGTACCCTCAAATGTGAATTTCATCAAGTTGAACAAAGTTTTTATGTAAACTAACTTTTTACATTAAACGTTTGTGTTTAAATCACATTGAGCATTTAACTAGTGATAGTAATTCATCGTATACATAAAAGTCTTATGCATTTAAGTATATTATTTTTTACTTTATAGCAAAGTTAATAGATTCACAAGTGGAAACACTTTTACATTTTCAAGTAGCTTAATTCTTTCGTATCTTTAGTTAAATGTTTAGACTCATGGTTGTTTTATTTTCCAGACAAAGCAGATTCTAGAGAGGCACGTGATCAGAGCCGGGCGGGCGTACACAGTATCTGATTTAAAACTGCTCGCGAACGAAACGCATCCTTTCGTTCTGCCAACGTCACGCGATCCGCTCAGGCTTCGAGTTAAAGAATCTGATAAAAGTAAGCTCTTAACGGTCCATTTACGTCATTATCTCCATTCATGCGAGGTTAGGGGGTTTAACTAAGTCGATTTAACTCAAATTGGATTTGTGTCTGCCGCAGATTACTACGTGGAGTGGAACGGGCATTGGATCCACGTCTTCCGGCCCGACGTCGAGTGCACCAATGGTATCATTCACGTCATCGACGAGCCTTTCGTACTAGAGAGCGACATTAGAGCCACCGGCGCCGCTGACAAAATTCGTGTCACGTCATCGCTTTTCCTATTATTTGTCTCCTTCTGTTTCGCGAGAATGTTAGAAAATTAAACTCCAACAAACACCTTTGATTGTTTTTATACAACTGTAATATTTACAGTTTATGAACTTATGATTTTACATGGTGACTTAATAATGTTAATTCGGAGATTTTGTAGTCCTTTCTAAAATTGTTACTTAGCCTTGTTTGGTGTATTTGCAATTAGGATGTGTACAGTTACCTCGTCAAATATCGATCATGCGGTGATTGTCAATAATATTTGTACGACGTCCATAAAGAAAATAGATTTGAAAATCACATGATCGATATTTTTGATTTAGCGATCTTTTAAAAGACAAATTAAGTTAAACGTCAAACAATAGCTCACTGCCAATTACGAATATGTAGGTCTACTTTGATCACTGAAACATGATTTAATTTGGAATTGGTTATGATGTTCAATATTATAATAATCATCAATTGTGGAAGTTTTGATGTAGCATTTCATATATACTTATACATGTTTTGAATAAATAATTTTACAACTTCCAACAATAATATTCTATGAAATATAGAAATTTCATTTCTTTTATTGATAATAATAAACAATTTTAACAGTTGAATTGTTACATATTGTATTTGGCCTGTTTGTGCCTTGATTTGAATATGATTACATTATATTTATATATTTAATCATTTATTTTAAATATAATTCTTTAAGATAATTACTTGAGAAAATAATAAATATAATAAAATAAGTATGTCTTAGATTGAAATTATCATATACATTCCACAATTTATCTTAGAAAGTTATTGACATCGTGTCTAACTAAATACATATTTATAAAACGTTACCTATTAGTACTCTCAGAATTAATGGTTTCACTCTATGAATAACATTTATTTATTTGAAATTCTTATGAAGTTTTCACCTTGACTGAATTATTCAATTTATCGGTAAATGTTAAAAATATTTATATCGCGGGATTTTAATATAAATGCACCAATCAGTGTGTTTGACGGAATTTGAACTTAATGAGTAATTTATTTGAATTAGCGCGATATCTAGATTTGACTCTATATTATTTTATTTTAAGAAATAAGTATTAATATACTGGTCTAGTATGGATCTATAAAATAAGCATTGGGGATATTAGTTGTAAAACAAAGTATAATCAAAAATGAAAATTGGTACCATATTTTTTAAAATATGGTTTTATGCTTAATCTTCTTCGACATTGTTATGGTGTAGAATATTGAAAATATCATCGAGTAAGTCTCAAACAAATTGATGAATCTAATGAATCTGGGAAAATACATTTATTTAGGTTTAGGGGTGGGAAGCAAACCCCTAATAACATCTTATTTAGCTACTAAAGCCCTTAAGAGATCATAAGGAATATTTAAGAATATATAAATATATTTATTTATTTGAAATGTAGTATTGGCTATTACTATTTTATTATTTATTATAAACTCGTGTTTTTAAGTGTTAATGAAACTGTTTTGGTGCATTTACTCTTATACATATATACACATAATATGAAGAAATTAAGGGTTGAAATTTATCGAGTAACAATTAAAAAAAATCTTGGATTGTGGGGTATAATAAGTAGTAATGGCATTAAATGTATATAGGTATGAATGTGCTTAATACTCTGACTGTGCATTTGCAATCATTTTTGTTGACAGTTGTAAATAGTTTGGGTAAGTTTACATTAGTTCGTTAACAATATTATTAGTCATAAAATGTGACTGAAATTTGATTATAACCCATAGTGAATTTCTGTGAAGTAAATTTTAAACTATCTTTGGACTATCTAATTTTTTACATCTATTGCGGATTGAGATGCTGCTTAAGATAAAATTAAGATTTTTATACGACAGTAACATTTTTCTACGGTAACAATATACATTTGTTTTGGATATCAATTTTACAATAATTCGCAATGTTCTAAAAAACAACCAGAGCAGCATTTCATTATCGGTAATCAAAACTGTGTTGGTTAGTTAAGTTAAGCTGGGTACTCATGATATTCTGTTAGTTGACACCATATTTTTCTTTTCATATCTCTTATACTATTTAACAAGCATTATTTTTGGCAGCCTTAAGTAGGTTGTTCCTGTTGTTTCTCACAAACCTATGTGTCCTAGAAATACAATAACCTAGTAGATTTATGCGTTTATTGCGATCGCAGCTGAGTTGCATCGCATGTGAGTATTTGGCTTAACTTAAAAATTCTTAATGTCTGTATTATCTGTCGCTTTAAGCAAGTATTTATAGAATTATTATAATAGATATCTGAGTGTTAAAAAGCCAAAGCTAATCGCTGTCTCAGCTGGTATCATAGTATAAGATTATGCTAACACAATCATGTTTGCAATTGAGAAGTAGTCAGGTTATATTAGGAGTTTTAAATAAAAATCTGTAATTGGGTGTAAGATTTTCATCATAATTTAGTGTGAAAATGGAATATGAAATTCCGAAGACAATATAATTTCGACCAAAATATAATCCAAGTATACCTATTTTTGGTTAATAGGAAATGTCGGAATTTCAATATAGCGTTATACATATATCTTAAATATGTCAAATTAGTTAAATTGTGACGAGCGATGTGTTTCATGAAAAGAATTTATGTATAAATATAGGTATTCAAATTCTAACAGATTAATCATTTATACCTATATTCCTCTCCCTTATTTTATATTATTAAGAAACTGCTAGACTTGGCGTTAATTCAATAATACCATAATCCGTTTACAGTTTAACATTAAATCATATTATAATTATTGTTGTTTAATATTTACAAGTATACTACGCAATAGTTGTTGTAAGAAATGTTTTCAATACAATGTTTTCTGCAACTGGTATGATCCTATGTAGCTGTCAAATATATTTTATATATGTTCTGAAACATTCTAACGCTGCAAGTACTTATTCAACCAAGAAATAGTTTAACAATGAAATTTCCAACGATACGAAACTTTATCGTAAAAGACGAACGGCAACATAGCAGGAATAAAATCACAAGTTCGCCGTCAGGCTTCAGAAATTTCAGTGTAAGGGAACAAAGGTTGAAGTCTGTCTCTTAATCCCTTAAGGTCGCCAATGAAAGAGAAGACTTTCCCGCACTAATCCCCTTGATGGATGCCCTACATCGCAAGCCCATTAGCTTATGATCAGCTTTAATGTAGGTACCTATATCAAAAGATTCCGTGATCCGACTACTAAGAACCAGAAAAAATATTCAGAATTTTGCGTCTCTGTGACACGTAAATAGATAAATCATTTTTACTTGATAGGTATATTTAAATCCTTATCGACTCCTTAACTTATCCCTAACAACTTAATAAAAATCAACTGCAGATGCGAAAATAAGTTTGTTTGTCTGTTACACGCCTAATCCTATGAAGCAATTTTAATAACAAAATAGGCTAAAGAAAATTTTACTAGAAAAATTATACGCGGAACAGGCAGCAATCTTTTTTTGCCCTTAAGATTTGCACAAAAAGACAGTTAAATGCCTTAAAAATAAAAGTATAACATAATAATCATCATCATCATCATCAGCCTATTAATGTCCCCACTGCTGGGGCACAGTCCTTCCCTATGGATGGAATAGGGAGATTGGGCCATGACCCACCACGCGGGCCCAGTGCGGATTGGTGGATGTAACATAGTAGGCTAGTGAAATAGGATATGAGAGTTTATAGAAAATCTATTGAATTTGTTTATACAGCCGACGCTGCAAAGAAGAAGTGTTAGTGTTAAGTTAGGTACTTTTGGTACTTTACGGATACAATTAACTGTTGAATTGAACATCACGAGCAAGAACCCGAATAAGAGGCAAAGTGCATATCATTGCTCGAATCAGAGCATCCGTCTGGGCAAGTAACCTCCATCTTACTGTAGACTATACTGAAATAACATTATATTGTGTTAAACTTTCATGGTCACAAACATTATAGCTAATAACGGGATTGTTACCATGTTCCTTGTTTTTTATGAATCTCTGATATTTCGGCACTGTCGCAAGCGCAATGATCACGGAGTTACTGAACTAATTGCGGGTAGATGTTATTGGCAGACATATCGGTCTACCCTCTGACGTCGTCTTTTATTGCTTTCGATACCCCTACCACTGGTCACATTCTCATTATTCTCTCGCACTTGTTACCGACACACAATACTCACAGTATCAGATCAGATAAAAAACAAGGTACATGGTGACAATCTCGTTAATAGCTATAATGAAATAACACTATCTTTTAGGAGCGTATGTACCCAAGGTTAAAAAAAATATTAATTTAACCTCTATTTTAATTGGAAAATAATCATAGAATGTTCATAGAATATTTGTAATTGATCCTCAAAAAATACAATTGGTAATCTAACCAAATATTTAAGTTACCAATTGTATTTTTAGGCGATCATTTACAATTTTTTGAGGATCATTTAAATGTGCGCCATTTTGATTCATAAAATCAGGGATAAAAAAAATATCTAATCAATGTACGCAACACAATAGTAGATTAAACACGAAGGTCAACTTGCAGCAATTTTGCTAAATCTCAATTTAACTAAAACTAGATTTAGCCCATACAAAAACGACAATTTGAAATTATTTTGAGATGTAGCTATATTGCAGCAAGTGGGCCTTAGTGTTTAATAATGTCAATTTGATATTATTGTATGGGCTTTATCTAGTTTTACTTAAATTGAGATTTAGTAAGGGGATAAAGGGGTCTTATGTTACGGGTAGCATCTCGAACTCTGAGCGAAAGAAGGAATTATGGTAAGAATCCTGAATGAAGCGATGGACATAGACATGCCCAAGAGTCTGCCCAAGACAAAGACAACGACACGAGGAGCATCCTGTACCTTGTACACCTTGTGACTAGGTTATATAAAAAAGATTTTTTTAATTTAGTTAAAAGTAAATGAATTAAATTAGAAATAAAAAGTTATGTTAGAAACACTATTCTACTTAGGGAAACTCAAATTATCTAGAGCTCCTCCATAAATAATAAATAAATTAATATTTCCAACACTCACACCAATTAGCCTAGCCCCAAAGTAAGCACTGTAAGGCCTGTGTTATTGGGATACTGGATCCATGACTGGAGTACAAATGCTCGTATTGATCACACAAACATCTGCCCCCAAACCTCTCGAGTCGGCGACACCATGAAACCCGGGCGTATAAACCATTCGGCCACTGAGGTTTTCAAATTCCATCCATATTCCATATTTATAAAGGTATGTAAACGTGTTGGTCCCAGGGGTCCTGGCTCATT